AGGATGAGAGTATTTCCATCTGGAAGCAAAAACGCTTGCCAAAGACGGAGGTAAATTATTTAAGGGCATCAGGATTGTGTTTCTATGGAGTTAATTGTCAGCAGCAAGACAGAACACCAATGTGCCAAGACATCTTCAGGTTTGGAGACAAAAAGCCAAAACACAGCCCTATCCTCAGGGAGATTCTAGTTCACAATGGCTCTCCAATCGACCTGGGTTCCTGTTTCCAATTTAAACTGGAGTACTGTGTCTCTCATTACACAAGACAGACGGGAACTTCTTTCTTGATGTTTTGTCAAATTCCCAAATCACCTGGGTCAGGGATGTTCATCCACCGGCCCTCCAAGGAGTCACTGTCTTGGTATGAGTCCTGCTTCCACGAAATTCGACAGGGATTTTAACACAGCCCCTTCACCACCACACAGGTTTGAGGAAGGGTCAGCTTGTTAGAATAATAAAGAAACCGACATGAACCTAGAATAAGGGCAACTTTGAGAGAAATAATGCCGGTATAATTCGGGAGGGGTGGTGTCAGGAACTGGAACTGTGGAGTCTAAAAGCTAGTCTTTCCCAAACAACAGAAGAGGAAAGATGGAGGAAGAAGAGAATGTGTTGGTTTTTAGTAAGTTTCATTCATTAAAGGAAAATGAATGACAATAATAAAAGTAAGCATATTAAAAGTCTGCAACGGTTTTTAATAGAAAGAATGGTCTTTAAATTGTCTGTCTGGTAGCTTATTTAACCTCGTTTCCCTCTTAGTTAAAACTACTTTCATTTCCCTGAACAGGGAGAAACAGATTCATCTGGGAATGCAGTTCTAACTGGGGGGAAAGTGGCTATTCGCTTCCAATCTCTATTTTAATATTTCTTAAAATAGATATTTCTTTTTTCTTCTGAAATGTAAACACAATATGACATTTTGATCAAAGCCTACCATATCTCTTGCCATCCTGGACTTGGTCCTCACAGTTCTCAAAGTGATCAGTTTCAATAAAAAAAATTATTTTAAAAAGTTTCTATAATAAACTGAAAAATGATAAAAACAGCAAAAGTGAAGTGATAAGTAAACATCAAACAAAATGTATTTAACATGAAACGTGGGGACGCCTGGGTGGCTCAAGTGGTTAAGCGTCTGCCTTCGGCTCAGGTCATGATCCCAGGGTCCTGGCATCGAGTCCCACATCGGGCTCCTTGCTCAGTGGGGAGTCTGCTTCACCCTCTGCTTGCCGCCCCCTCCTGCTTATGCATGCTCTCTCTCTCAAATAAATAAATAAAATTTTAAAAAAAGTTTAACATGAGACACGACATGGCCTAGCTGGACGCTAAGTAAGCCATCGCATGTGCCCGGGGTTAGGGTGTAGGTCATGCTTCCAGGAGGAGGGATGGTATGTGTGTGCTAAGCACACTTAGGGAGCACGAGGGGGTCCAGGGGAGGGTGGTCCTGTGACCTAGCAAGCCTCACTCTAGACACGGCTCCAAATTATTTGCCTCTATTAGACATCTGAGCAAATGAGCCTGGGACAGAGGACCGTGGATCCTGTCACAGCTGGGCCGGGGAGCTAAAGGCAGCTGAGATTCACAGAGATCCTGTCTCCATTTCTCTCCTGTGTACGGACGGCATCTGATGATGCAGTTTCTAACAGGAAGACACAGCAAAAGGCTGCTGGCAAACAGCCTGTCGTGGAGTCGTTAGGAATGGGGACATTCCAGAGGGAAAAAGAAATTCTAAGAGACAGTCCTCTCAAGAAAAGCAAGACTCTGCAAACAGCACCTGCAGACCCCAGCTGAGGGGCAGGTTTTACGTGGGCGTATGTGTAAAGGGCCACTGGCTGCCGATTGATCGTCCCTGTCGGACCTGAGCAGAGCGACAACAAATCACCGTCGGCAACACCATCTCTTGAATGCAAAGGACGGCAGTCCGTGTGCACACCTTGGGACCTTCTTATTTAGATGCCTGGGAGGCCACACACAAGAGAAGCTTGATTTATTGATTGCACGCCCGCCAGACGGAACCAGCAGGTGGGAGTCTGGCACTTAAGAGCCTGACCAAACAGCCTTGGGAACTGCTCCCCTAGTCGCAGCGACTCCCCGAGTGACCCGGGGCAAGTCACTTGACTTCTTTGCTTCAGGTTCCCGCACCTGGAAAAGGGGATGGCCTTGTTCCCTGACGGCCAAGGGAGAGCGTGAGGAGGAGCTCAGGTGGCTGATGACATCAAGGTGGAGCTTGGTTCCCCCGTGGGTCACCGGCTGCCCTCCCAGCATCTCAGAGATCTGGGTCTGTGCTCCCGGCAGAGGACCTCGACAGAGGGTGAGCCAACTCTACCGCGCTGGAAGACCAGGTCCTACTGACAGGTCATCTTTGACCATGATGGGCGGCACATTCGCTCTGTCAGGAGAAAGATACGTACTTGTAAAGGGTTCCAAATATGCTGAAAAGCAAGCGCCGTACAAACCTCACGCCTGAGAAGCGATGAAGTTCAGCGTTAGATGTACCATATACCCTTGTGCTTTGGAAAGTTTACAGAACTTCAGCTGCATACTGAAGACCCCATGACCATCTCTCCACAGTCTGTGGCCTGAGGTCATGCTTACCTAGTCTATGGAAAGGTGGTATTTTTTTTTTTTAATTTAGGAATGTATTAACTGGGAATCTCTAAGTTATCCTGCAACAAAACCAAACCAAAGCAATCTTTTCAGACCCAGCTTCCAAAACCAGGGAAAGAACCAATCGCTATTTTTCTCTGGAATCTAATGAAGAGGTAATTAAGGCACGAGGAGCATGAGGTCCCTCAAGCCCACTCTTAGCCGATAAGGGAGTCTTTCTTCATGAATCAAATCTGAGACTTTGCAGTTTTGGGTTTGGGTACACCTCTTCGTTTCTGTGATTAACCATACTGTGATGGTTAATTTTATGTGTCAAATTGGCTAGACCATGGCCCCCAGATATCTGGTCAAACATTCTAGATGTTTCTGTGAAGGCATTTTTTAGATGAGATTAACATTTAAGTCAGTAGAGACTTGGAGTAAAGCAGATTACCTTCCATAATGGGAGTGGGCCTCATCTGAACAGTTAAAAGACCTTAACAGAAGAAGAGCAACCCTCCCGGAAGGGGAAATTCTGCCAACAGACTCTGCCTCTGGACTTGAACTGCAACTCTTCCCCGAGTCTCCGGCCTACCAGCCGACCCTGAAAATGGGGGACTTGCCAGCCCCCACAACCGTGTGAGCCAATTCTCTAAATAAATCTCTCTCTCCATGCATACACATCCTATTAGTTCTGTTTCTCTGGAGAACCCTAATACACATACTGTGGTAAATATTGCCACCGTTCACCAGTATTTCTGGTTTTCTCTCCTTCTGGATCCTGGAAACTTGAAACCATGGCCACTCACTTGCTTCGGCTAACAAGATGGAGGGCAAGTGACTGGTGTCTCCCCCAAGCAAAAGCATCTAAGAGCCCGGGCAGGACCGTTTCTGCTCCTCGCCTGCAGCGCCAAGCCTCGAGTCACAGAGAGATGGCCGAGACACAAGGTACTGCTTCCCCCAGCCGGAGCCTGCGGGTGACCACAAGGAGCAGCATCCCACCGACCAGCCCCTGCAGATGCACAGCCTGAGTGAGAGTCGTTTGTTGTTTCAAACCTCTGAGATCTGGGGCTTGTTTATGATTGATACACCGCTTGGGAAAAAAAGTTGTCCTGGTGATTTGTACTTACTGACTGAACCCTTTTCAAGCCCCTGTCAAGAAGTGATAAATTATTGAAGTGTAGCATAAAGTGTTTTCTTTTTGCTGTGCCCATAGTAAAGCCCTGTGAAATGTTTCTGGCTACCTTTCCTGGGTCATTAAAAAATAATTGTTTCCAATCACTCTGGTCTTTAAAATAAAACAAGACAAAATGCCACAGATCCTTCTCCAGAACCAGCACCACGCCTCTCCTCCCTCCTTCCCCGTCCGGCCCCCACCTCCCTCAACCACACCACCGGCTCCCGGAGGGAGTACTGCTGCGCTCGGGGAGGGAGGAGGAGGGAGGCCAGCACGACATTCACACAATTGTCTGGTGTTCATTCAACCTCTGTGCCCAGATATAGTTGTTGTTCCTAGAGACTGCATAAACTGCTCAGAGAAGAAAGCAGGGTTGTGGAAATCTCATTAATAAACTGTGAAAACCCTCTCAGCAGGAGTCACAGAATGCAGAGGGGCTGCCTTGAGCCAAGCAACAGGAAAGCTCAGTTCTCTGCTCCTGGACAACATCACACTCCAGCACAGCTCACAGCTCGGATTCGAGAAAGGCTGCCCGAAAGCCCCTCCCTGAGCGGGGCGGCGGGGGGGGGGGGGGGGGGGGGGGGGGGGGAGGGGGGGGGGGCTGGTGAGGAGAAATTCTTCTCCTCCAATCATAGTTAGGCGACTGGAACCTGAGTAAGTTTACGAAGTCCAGGCTTTGCTTTAATCTAAACGACTGCCAGACAGAGGTAAGTACAGGACTGGTTCCTCACCTCCTGTGCTTCATAAACGTTAGAGAACGCGGATGCCAAGGCTCCCGAGAGAAGGCAAGAAAATCAGGCAAGTCTACCTGTGCAGGACGAGGTACAAGGTGACTGCAGACTGATGTCGCTCTCAGCTAACCGGAATATGGCTAACCTTCAGAGTTCCCCCAGCTCCATGCACATTCCCGCTCCCTCTGTGGACGTGCCCCCTTTAGATCCCCAGCTCTATTTTCTATCCAGGTGACAGGATCAGAGGCTGAACTTCTGACCTCGCAAATCCTTTGCAGCCTCGGACTGAAACCGGATGCCTCTGTAGAACATCTTCCCTTGAGCATTTCGTGTGGCAAGCCAAAGAAGGTGGGACAAAGAAGGACATCTCTAAAATGGTTTAATGATCATCATATGCATGCTTTCTTCAGACAAGTGAGTAAAGCAAATCCAATCAAATGACGCGGTTTGAGACCTGAATTAAAAATCACGTAGAGAGAAATGGATTTTCTTTCTTTCTTTTTTATTCTTTTGCGTTCTGCACACTGACACAGCGGGAAAAGAAAATGCCTGGAACTTAAATATGGAGGAAGCTCTTTACAACTACATCCACGATTTTGTGCACTTCTCTCACTCGCACGTCAGTGAAAAATCACCAACTATTATGAAACAGGACAAGTCAAGTCACAAAAGAACCAAAAAAAATCCCATAAAAAATATATCCAAGTATGAAAAGTACTGTCCTCTTGGCGCCTTTACATCCTTCTCTTCTGTGTACTTATATACAGCACTGGAAAGGAAAAAAACACAACACACTGAAAAAAAAAACACCTATGCTTAAAAAATCATAATAGCAAGTTTCCAAAGCAAATAGATTTTGGCCTAACAGCTCTGCAAACTGAAAAGGAATTTTCATACCACACAACAAATTCTAGGACTATTGAAAAACTAGATTTGATGAATCTAGACCTGGGTTTGACGTCTTACGGGACTGTGTTCTAGTGTTCACTATGTATTTGACTGTAAATTGTGACCAGGAGGCTAAAAAAAAAATGGATGTGAAAACCCCTGGAATGTAAGAATGTTTTATAATTATAATAATTCTGCTTGTAGTAAGGTAAATCAGTAAATTTACCAGGCGAAACCTCAGATTAACAATAAAAAACATATTTTCATCCATCTCTCCAACATAAACTCTAAACTTGCTGTTTACTATTTTAACTACAACAGGATAAACAAGAGCTGAGGAGTTTGGGGGGTTTTTTTGGGTTGTTTTTAAATACTAAAATCTTTATTCTGCGTTCCCTTTTAAAGTATCAACCTATCCAAAGTTTTGCTCAGCTATCCTCGTGACCACCCAAACTGAACTCTTTAGGACATCAGAATAAGACAAAACTTAGTAACTAGGTGACTCTGGTCAGGCTTTCAGAGGTGTTCTTCCCCTCCCACCCCCAGGCCCCCTCAGACTCCGACTGGTCTGTTCAAAGTGAACATGAAGAGGTACCTTGATCAAAGAACACAGCACAAATTAAAAAGGATCCTTTTTAAGAGACAAAGATGTGAATTTGGGAGTCTAAGGGTAACTACCACTGATTACATCATGGAAAAAGTTATCAGGAAGGGAAGCAGCAGAATGGCGGTAGAACTGGACCAGCCCAAGAAGCAGTGAGCACAGGACAGGACCCAGCCTGTCACCACTCACAGGTGACTACTGCTTTCAGCTGTCTGGAGATGGGGAACGATCAGAACATTTCTAGTAAATGGGGGGAGTAAAATAAGACTAACAGAAAAAAATCGAGGAAACCCTACATGTTGGAAGGAATAAAAAGCCAGCAAAATATGTATACAAAGACAGGAGGTGAAGAAATATGGTACTGTAAGAACAGGATACAGAACACCTACAACAAAAGTCAGGATATTTAGTTCAGAGCCGAGATCCAACTGTTAAGGGGGATGAAGAAATTACCCAGAACTAAAGAATTCACATCAATAAAAAAATCCGAACTCAAGAGCCCCCGAGCTCCATTTGGGGGATGGGACCAAAAGGGGGGGATGGGGGATGGGTCAAGGGATAATTCCCTCAGTTTTGATGTTTTTCCCTTCCCCCTGAGAAATTCAAATACAACTTCTTTGGTAGTTTTCTTTTTAGACAAGGTACTTAACAGTAACCATAATAATCATAGCAACATACTAGCTGTTAAAAAGTGGAGTAACTTTAGAATCAAGTTTCCTACTTTGTCATTTTTGCCAAACTAAAGGATGCAAACCTCCACAAAAAGCATTTGAACGTTTAAGAGAGAAAGGACATCAGGACAAGCTACCTCCCAGATACTGCAAACCAAAGATACAGGGAAAATAGTGGCCACTCTTACAACTCCAACTTCCAGTGTGAGAGGTAGTGTTGGGGGAATTTAATAAACTGTATTCAGGGCTCTGGGTCAGTGTCCTAATGCCCCTCAGGTCCTCATTAGTAAAGAGAGGGAAGGTGAGAATGTCTATTCCAAAATTCTGCGAAGCATCTTAAAAAAAAAGAAACTGGTCACAATGAAGATCTGAGATTGAAAAAGTTAAAAATAAACAACACAAAACTAAAACTAAACTCTTGAGTTATGTAGAAAATCCGCTGGGGATCCTGATTATAAACAAAAAAAACCCAAAAAACAAAAAACAAACTTTTCTTGGATGTTGCACAACCGTATAGCGAGAGAATATTACCATTGTTTCCACGGATAAATGCATCGCCATACTTATTCTTCAGCTGTCCATTTACATATTCTTCCGTCTGCTCCAGGGCTATATTCATGTAGCCATCCAGGCAAGCCAGGACCCCTGGAGGCAGATTTCATCAAAGAGAAGATATACAGGGCAAATAAGAGTTGAAAATTACAGGGTATACCTTAGAACTGACAATTGCGTGATGTGTTAGCTCTTATGCGCTTAATATAAAAATTCACACTGTAAGTGAAACGCCATCGTTTCTTTCTACGCCGATGTGAGTGACGGCAAAGAAGCATACGGGGCGAACGCAGTCATGGACCCACCGCCAACGGGGGAAACATTAAACTATCACATGCTTCCTGGGCCATGTGGTTAACAACAGTAAGTCCTAAAGCCTTCACAAAAATCACATAACACGCATATTCCAAATAAAACAGCGTTTTCTGAAAGCTAAAATCGGGAGTGGGCAATTGCGCAGGGACAAATGACCACTGGCCAAGGCTCCTTGCTGCGAGTGGCGCTCCTTACTTTAGCCACTCAGTGAAATATGGGTCTGGCAGATTTACTGCATTCCTTCGCAACATCTACTGCAGCAGATGAATGTACTCCAGGGTTCAGGGGAAGTCTCCACAATCTGTTAAAATAATAGGAGAGGAGACAGCAGGTGCTCCTGAAGGAGCACCCGAAAGCTGTGATGTGACTCCTCGTGAAGAGCAGCTTGAGAAGACAGGGCACCATATTGCATTGTAACACATCCCTTTCTGTTTTGTTAGAGTTCGAAGAGTTTCAAATCCAGACTAATATAGAAAAATGGCCAAGAACATTCTAAGGAGCTTTTCAGGAAACTGAGTGAATCTTTTTAACTGTGTTAAGATAGTATAAATTGTGCAAAACTTGCCCTGATAATTTTTCTCAAAAGAGGAACACATATAAGCCTCTGAGTCTCTAACTTCACATGGTATTTTCTAGAAAAAAAAGAATCGAGTAAAAACAAATACTACAAGTTTGATTCAATTAGCCAAGTCGAGAGCTTCTTTTAGTCTCCACTTCGTTAATATGCTCCTCACTCCCTGCCTCTGCCCCCATTTCCCTCTAAACAAAAACGTTTCTTTTCCAAACTGTGTGTGTAATGAGAACACACGACAGTAATCTAACGGAATACTGCTAGAAGCTGTACACTTTCAAAGAATCAGAAGAGATTATGAACAATTACTAACAATTATTTCCCGTCAAAAGAGAGCTTAAGCTATAACTTTCCAGTTTATTTCCTGCTGTATTATTTTACATCTAAACCACAATCCTAAGTGAGCAAGAAACTTCCGAAACATGACATGCAAATCTGTTTGAAAGTTAACCCAAAGCATTTCAAAATGAAATATTCACTAATAGAAAAATATCTATTCTCCTAGCAAAGGTTGTTTTAAGAAAAAGATTCCAGGAGGTCGTAATGGTAACCCCCTCCCATCTCTAAGGGATAAACTACTATGAATAACAGAAAAAACAGTTTTCTTCAAACTTAAGAGAAATTGCTACAGAAAGCTGGGGTTTTTAATTTAATCATGATGGTTACTAGCCATGTGAAAGGCTGTTCAACCTCACTAGTAAACAAAGAAACAGAAATAAAATGAAACTATTACTTGTTGCCAATTAGAATGGGAACGCTGAAAACAAGGCTAATATAAGGATTGTTGAGAACACAGAGAAGAATAAGCCCATCTGCCCGGAGGGGAGGGCCACTGGGCATGCTCATTAACACAGAAATCCTAGGCCAGGGAATCTATTCTAAAGAAATACTTGGACAGGTGCTCAAGATACATGTCAAAGGAGCAGAGCTGTTTACTTAAAATAGCAAAAAAATTGGTAAACACCTGCAAGCCCATTAATAGGAAAACTGATTAAAAACAAAAACAAAACTGTGGCACATCTACACAAGGTACTCCTATGCAGCATGAAACACTCCGTATTGTCAGAGAACTGAATGCATTCTTTTCATGTAAAAAGAAGAAGAAAATCAGGGTGTGTGCATAGCTGATCCCATTTATATAAAATTATGCTTATACGGACACAGGTCCAGACTGGTAGGCCTGATTAGCTCTGGATGGAAGAATTTGGGGAGACTGCTTTCTTCTGTATACTTTTCTTCATTATTTGCTTTGAAATTCTTAAAAAAAAAAAAAAAGAAAGAAAGAAAAACATGTATGCTACCTTTATAGATAAAAAAAACTTTCCCTAACGAGTATAGAGAAAAAAAGTCAGGCTAGGCTGGTTGATCTCCTCAATGAAGTGGGTTCTGAGAAGACACCGAACACAATGTTCCCACCCTAACCAACCGTTGAATATGCTCAAATCTCTAGAAGTCTGTTATCTCCTTTGGGCTCATCAAAAGTTCATGGGTGTAAAGTGGTATGTAGAGACTTTATAACTCAGTATTCAGTGTAAATCTATTAGTTCCACTATAAAAATTAAACTGGAGATAGGTTATTGATGTCAAGACACTAAAGCAGTACATAAAGAGCAGGGTGATTTCTTAACCAGGTTTTTAGTCAAGCTTGAGTTAGGAGTCCTAGCTCCTCCCTTACTAGGTGGGGAGAAACAGATACCTCAAAGGATTTACGTGAAGATAAATTGGGAATTGAAATGATTAGCACACACTGGACACCTAGTAAATTCTCAGGAAAACTAAGTTTGCATGTGTGGAAAGGGGAAAAAGCTCAAGACTACCATCTCATTCAGAAAAGAGACCAAGAAAAGGCTTTACTCTGCTAATGAATTAGTAAGCTGCACCCGTGAAATATTCCAGGTCATTAACGTATTTGAATTTTGGAAGATTAGGATTTTAGTAACTAAAAAATGGGATTTGACACCATTCCTCCCACAAAGTTAATTTCAGGAGTGTCACAGCCTCTTAAAAGTAGCATTCTTGAAAAGAATGGAAAGGTATATTTGGATAGCACGTGTACTGTAAGAGTGGGAAGTTCATGTTGTAAAATGATACTGTCTAAACAGCTGCTTGTCAACCTTGAATACTTCGGCAAAACCACATGCTGTTGTGCTAAGTGTTCTTCGGTTTCCAGTTATTCTTGCCTGAGGTGACTGAGAATCCTGGCTATTACCAGGATGTACACATCCAGTCGCAAAGCAGAGACAAGGAGACAACAGTCACATAAATCACACCGGAAGTCAGAAGCACACAATCTGCTATGCACCCTGTCTCCAAAGGGAACCATCTCAGAGGTAGAAAAAGAAATGGACATAAAAACTACTGGTAACCAATGCCTTTTTTTCTATTGGGTATGTTTAAGAACTTAATAAAAACCAGTTAGGTCATATTTACTCATTTAGTTGCACCAGTGAGAACAAAGCATGAAAATATTACCTCGATAATCCACTCCAGAATTCAATTTTACTACAACTGGTCGTCCGATGATTTGCTTTAAGAAGTCACTGGGGGTTTGCTTCCGTAGACTCATTTTAACAATCCTGATCAAAAATCTGAAAAGGAGCAATAAAAGTAAAGACAAAAGTTAATTATTCACCCAAAAAAGGCTTTAGCCTGTTTATAGGAAATCACGTACCAAAGGACTACATATGAAGACTCAACGTGATTCACTCCTATTACAACATGACAGCTAGCATGTTTCCAGTACTTACCATCAGCCAGATGCTAAGCTAATGCATGACCTCATTCAGTTATCCCACAGCAACCCCACGACACGGCTTCATCATGGCTCCCTGTGTTAACAGAGCCGCTGTTCTTAATCACTGGTCACTACTGTCTCACACACGGGTAGTATACCCATTACAACCACTGCCACCGCCATCATTTACTGCATGCTCATTCTATGCTGAGCACTCTGCTGAGCTCCTTATAAACCCGGTCCCATTTAATCTTCATAGGAACCCTGAGAAGGAAGTCATAATATCCCCATCTTGCTAATGAAAATAAAAGCACAAAAAGCTGAAATAATGTGCCCCTAAATGTGATGGAGCCAACATTCAAGCTCAACACAGTCGTATTTTAAAGTCTGTGTTATGTAATGCAGACATATTGACAAACTGATGCCAAAATAGTGTTTCTAAAAATAATTATAACCATAACTGAGCGCTAATACCTTAGTGTGCTATATGTCAGCACTCACCTAAGCACTTCTCATATAGTAATCCATTTAAACCTATGACGCGATGGGGTAGGTACTGTTTTTAATCTTCATTTTACAGATGAAGAAAGAGTCACAGAGGTCCTGCTCTGGTCACATAGCTAGTAAGTGGATGACCAGCTCACGCTCGGAATCACAACCTTATACAGCCTCTTGAAAGTTCCTAATGCAGTCAGAACTTTTTTACTCTATTAGAGCAGATATACACTCTATATAATTAAGAGAAAGTCTTTTCTTTTTTAAGTTTTTATCTTAATCACCTGGTGCTCATCACAGCAAGTGCTTGCCTTCATCCCCATCACCCATTTCCCCCAACCCCCCCTCCCACCTTCCCTCTGGTGACCATCAGTGTGTTCTCTGTAGTTAAGAGTCTGTTTGTTGGTTTGCCTCTCTCTTCTTTTCCCTTTGCTTGTTTGCTCTGTTTCTTAAATTCTACATATGAGTAAAATCATATGGTATTTGTCCTTCTCTGACTGGCTTATTTCACTTAGCATATTATTCTCTAGCTCCACCCACGCCACTGCAAACGGCAAGATTTCATTCTTTTTGATGGCTGAGTAATATTCCATTTCTCTCTCACACACGTGCGTGCACACACACACACACAAATACACATATATACATATACAACCTCTTCTTTATCCATTCATCAGCTAATGGACCCTTGGGCCGCTCCCATAATTTGGCTATTATAGATAATGCTCTATAAACATCAGGGTGCACGTATCCCTTTGAATTAGTATTTTTGTATTCTTTGGGTAAACACCTAGTAGTGCCATTGCTGGATCATAGGATAGTTCTATTTTTAACTTTTGAGGAGCCTCCATACTGTTTTCCACAGTGGCTGCACCAGTTTGCATTCCCACCAACAGTGTAGGAGGGTTCCTCTTCCTCCACATCCTCCCCCCAACACCTGTTGTTTCTTGTGTTGTTGATTTTAGCCATTCTGACAGGTATGAGGAGGTAGCTCACTGTAGTTCTGATTTGCATCTCCCCGATGATCAGTGGTATTGAGCATCTTTTCATGTGTCTGTTGGCCATCTGTAGGTCTTCTTTGGAGAAATGTCTGTTCATGTTTTCTGCCCATTTTCTAATTGCATTATTTGGCTTTTGGGTGTTGAGTTTTATAAGTTCTTTATATACTTTGGATACTAACCCTTTATCAGATATGTCATTTGCAAGTGTTTTCTCCCATTCCAGAGGTTGCCTTTTAGTACAAAAAAGTCTTAAAATTCAAGAATAGGAGTCTGAAATACAGACAGAACATTATATACCCAAATCAAACATACACAGTTGCCAATCACTCCTTTCAAAATTCATCTTGTTATATAATAGTTATCTGGGTCAAAGTATTTTAATAAACAAATGTAACAAAACTGTAGTTACTTAAGCAAAAACTAACAGCAAAAGGACTTTGGAGATTACTATTTGTTTCCATCAAATTCAGCTCACTGTTATTTTGTAGCCATATAGTACTGACACTTAAAAATCAGTATGGATACAATATTTTAAGGACTCTCCTCAAGAACTCAAATTGTTTTCAATCCAAATTTTTATAACACTTTCTTCCATAAACAGCACTGCTTACTTCAAGTCTATCCACTCCACGATCTGAATATGGGTTCAGGAACATCGTTTATACAGATTTTCTCACAGTGAATCGGCCAGCTCAAGCAGTTTGGTTAAGCTAGAATGCTTGGTTACTGGCTTTTCGTTTCTTGAACAAATACGCATGTGTCCGCACATATTTTAGGGAACTTCAAAAACACGGCTTTCACACAGGTTCTGACCTTAAAGAACTTAGAATCCAGAAGAATTTAAACTCTTGCTCCAAGAGTGTGAGTAAACAAAAGTGATTATAATTTAAGGAAAATAATTTTCTTTAACCCCCAAAAATCAACATCCTCAATTAAATAAAAGAAAATACAAATTTCACAAAGTACGCTTGAACTTGGGGCTGTTCTTTGGACCATTCCCCACTCCATCCTCCTGAGGCTTGAAAGATGTTTAAAATGCGATCAGCTAGTGATTTTACTCAGCAAATTTTAATTTAACTTTCCCACTGGATTGCCAGTTTATTTTTTTAGCTACAGTCTCAGTAGATAACTGGAATTACAACTACTATTCAGGACGACCACTATTCATTTGAGACTCAGACCACACAATTTTATTTATGCTGTTTTGAGCACAAGAAAAAAATATTACAAAGTAAATCCTGTAACAGATTCAGTACTCTTGATGAGTTTAGTAAAAACAAACAAATCTTCCCATTCGTCTACCAACTGCCTTATTTATGTCCTGAACACATGCTGTTTTGTCACTGAACGGGTCTAGAGACTCTTAACTCTGAAGGCCTGATGGAGACTCAGCTCATGAGTCAGGTGTATTTCTTATCAGATGTGAAATCCCATGATGGTGCTTTCTATGTACAAGACCGAGACAAAACTAGCCGTTTCCTTCGTGTTAAAAAAAAAAAAAAAAAAAAACACTAAGATGCATGGTCATGTGAAAATCTAGTTGACAGGAATATTACTAACTACCTCATCCAAAGTTAAAAGTTAATGACAGGGGCGCCTGGGTGGCTCAGTCGTTAAGCGTCTGCCTTGGACTCAGGTCATGATCTCAGGGTCCTGGGATCAAGCCCCGCATCGGGCTCCCTGCTCCGCGGGAAGCCTGCTTCTCCCTCTCCCACTCCCCCTTCCTTGTGCTCCCTCTCTCGCTGTGTCTCTCTCTCTGTCAAAAAAATTAAATCTTTAGAATAAATGAATAAATAAATAAATAAAAGTTAATGACAGCAAAAAGACCCCAAGCCTAGACAAACTGCTGGTATTGGCTATTTTTTAAAATGTTATTCGTCTTCTTTCTTCACCTTTTTAAAAAGCAAAGATAATACTCTTCTAAGCTCATCAAAGATCACACCTCTGCCATTAAAGCCACATCTTCACTCCAATTAGCATCAATCTCTTCCAGAAGGTGTTCAACACTTCAAACTTCCATGCAGCGCCTGAGTGTCGGGTGCACAGGCTGGGGGAGGGGGGGCTAACACTAATAAGATACAGGTAGCCTCGGGCCCTCAGAGTTTACAGTCCAAAGCTGGCCCAAAAACACGTCATTGGAGAACTTTTTAGAAGCTGTATGTATGTGGATAGAATTATGCAGAGAACAGCACATAGAGAAAGCAGCTCACCTGGCACAGCTTGGCAGAGCAGAGGATTTCTGGAGGTGACACCTGTGCTGAGCGAGAAGGGAAAGGAGCCCACCGGCCGAAAGGAGAGAAATCTTAGCAAAGACACTGGACGGTGTAATTGCGTTTGAGGAGAAAACGCTATACGGGCCAAGAAGACAAAATGTAGGCGCAGTAGGGAGCAGGGCCACGTTCCTGGCAAGCAGGGCAAGTCAGGCTAAGAGACCGTGGACTTGAGCTGCCAGCTCAGTTTCCCAAACATGAAAGCAATTGGCTCACTTGGAGATTCTGATTCAGTAGTTGTGGGGCAGAACCCGGGAACTGGTTCGCACAAGTCCGGCAGATTTCTCTGACCTGGCAAGTCTGGGGAACACCGTGTCAGCGACAGGAAACACGACAGGGTCATGAGCAGAGACCTGCCTGAGCTCGGCTCCCCAGGGCAGAGCATAGGTGGGCCACCTCACCTAGTTCTGACATGGCGGCGTCCCCCAAAGGTTGTACTGGCTACAATCTGTCACTACTCTCTAACATTCTCTACTTTTTTTGTACTAGTTTTTCACCCTCAAAAGATGGGAAGCCATGTGAAAGGCAAAACTACTCTCAAGCTTTTCATTTTTTCTCCAGAGCATCTGCATTCTGCTAAATCTCTTGGGAAAAAAAAAATTCAGAAGTTATTTGAAAAGGGGGTGGTTGCTTCAAACTCATTTTATCCATCACTCTAGGAGACCACAACCACATCTTCTACATTCATCTTCATTAGGCTTCCTTGGTACTCCCCGTTACTTAATGACTTGCCCATAAATCCATTTTGTATGAGTAAATTGGTCTCAACATCACAATTTTTCCCATCACTTGGCTCACGAAATTTTAAGTGTTCATCTTTTAAATTGGTTAAGGCAGAAGGCACAGTTCTGACCATTTCTGAAGCGAGAGAAAAGCCTCTTGAACCATAAACACAGAAGAGGAAAAAGGCCTCCTTTCTGCAGGGTCACCTTGATAAAACTTCTCCCTTCAAAATTAAAGCCATAATCACCTCTATGCCTCTCTCCCTCCCCTGACTCCTACTCAGGCTTGTTTTAAATGACCTATTTTCAGAAACGGCTATTAAGTCAAAGGCAGTATATTTTCTGCCAGAAGCTACTGAGAGGTCTAGTATAAGAACATCCGCAAACTGCCCTGCAGAGATTTTTTTTTAGTAAAAGAATGGGGGGAAAAGAACCAAATTTTATTCATCCAACTATGTGCTAGGCTGCGTTAGATTCACGAGCAATTCACACGGTAACCCTGTGAGGTGGCAAGCACAACTAAGGCGGGGTCCCAAAGCCTAAGCCCTTTCAAAGCTGCCCTTTGGAATATGTCTAGATCCTCCCTTGACAGGTGGGGAACGGCCACAGACATCTATGGAGATGTAGGGGAGATCCAGCTGGAGAACGGGAGCACTGGAGGAAAAATGCCTAAAGGCACAAAGTGCTGTCAATTAGCCTGTGAAGAAATACAATGGTCAAAGGTTAAGAAATCTATCTAACGTGATTTTGAGTTACGTCACTGAGCAGGGGACTCGCAAATCCTTGCTTCTTGGCAATGGTTACCTGTAAACTTTCACCTCCTCGTAGAATATTTACGGTTTAGGGTGAAAAAAATGTGAAAAGTAAATAATTACAATGAAGCATAACATTACAACCCACGTAAATGCAGCTCGAGACTAATACCTCAGTGTCTGAGAGGGCATCAGACACTGAGACCAGCTCTCTAAACATCGCCCTTCTCAGACAGTTGGGGTACCTAGTCCTTCTGAAGGCTTCATACCAATCCCTCCTCCCCACATGGTAGGGGGCTACCTTCCTCCCCTCCCTCACTCCAGCCCAGAATCCAGCACTCACAGCACCCCTTTCCACTTATCAGGCTGTTGCATAGTTCTCCTGCTGACCAGTCTCCCGTGGTAGGCTCTAAGCTTCTCAGAGACAGGGAAAATGGTGTCCCTGGTACCTAAGCTCACTGGCCAACCCTGTGGGCGGCATCTAAGGTCAGTGCCAAGGAAAAGCTTCTCAGAGACAGGGAAAATGGTGTCCCTGGTACCTAAGCTCACTGGCCAACCCTGTGAGGGGCATCTAAGGTCAGTGCCAAGGAAAATCCCTGTCCTTTCCTCCCCCACCCACGAACTACGAGTAGAGTGACTAGCACGGTATCTTCTGTGCACTTAAATGGCTACAGCATAGTAATATCTCTGTTACTGACCAGCAAATAAAAGAAAGATGAAGAAAACGGACATGTTTCTATGTTGTACAAGAACCAGCTGCGTCCGAGTCAATGGAGATGCTTGTTAAAATGCAGATTCCTGAAGTCTACTCCTCATCAGACTCCCTAGGCAAGGGGCACTATAACTTACATCTTATAAAGTTTCCCAAATGATTCCTATAAGCAAATGCAGACATGGGGAAATGTCTGGAGACATTCTGGATTGTCTTGAATGAGGAGGGTGGCGCTAGTACATAGAGGCTAGGGGTGCTGCTTAACATTCTACACAGCATAGACAGGGCAGCCCTCCACAACAAAGGATTATCCAGCCCAAAATGTCAACTGAGGTTGAAAAACTGTTATAAACCCTAAATCAAAAAACCATTGTTCTCTGGTCTTAAAGTGACAAGGCGTTTTTAAAAACCTTCAAGGTACAACAAATGAGAATGAACAGCTCAATTCTAATTAGATGACAGAGTACAAATCATAACTTACTAGATGTTTTATTCTGACAGAAAGGGAATCTGAAAACAACTGTCAAAAAGTCTTGAAGGGGTTGCCGTTCTAAGTAATGAATTTTTAGTCCCGGTCACAAAAATGGTCAATTTTCCCATTTTTCAGTGTGAGACTTCCCTCAGATGACTAAAATCTCTGTTATTTGGTACAATTCTAACAGGACAGAATAATCCACGTGATGTCAACATTTTTTTAAATTCTCATACAAGTATGCCACAGTTTAGTTGAGAGACCACCCAATGCAGCATAAGGAGTACTCACTTGGGAGACGGAAACCTGAATTCTAATCCCAGCTCTGCTACTTAATTTAGCTGTATGCCTTGGAGAACTCGTCATTTCACCTCTCAAGGCCCCAGGTTCCTCATCTGCAAAATAAGGGAGTTATGCTAGATGATCACTTAAGAGATCATCCTGCTCTAACAGTCAGCCTATGCAGTAACTCCAGTAATGCATTTACACACACACACACACACACACACAAAGATAATCCTCCAGACTCTTGCACAAAATTCAAGCAATTGGAATTGTGAAACACTACCATAAAAAAAAAAATCCAAAGAGAGGCTGATGTATTAGACATATATTATGAGCTAGCATGCATTTGGTGAGAACAGGCACAACCTTACATGAATGATGTAAACTGCCAAAACTTTTCTGGAAAACAACTGGGCAATGGGTATGAAGATCTAAAAAGACCATACTAGAACACAGCATCTATTGTAATAACTTCCTTGCCCAGAATCTAGTCCAAGTGAGTCATCTGTAACACAGTTTTAAAAATAAAGTTAATCAAAGTATTACCTGGGATGCTAAAATGAAAGAAAAATTCACAAACACCCTAAATGCCTCACAGCTGGGAAATGGTTGAATAATTTATGGGGCCTACACAATGACAGAATAGGTAGCCAATCAAAAGATGCAAAATTAGAAATGATATTTAGGAAGAATTTTCAAATGAAAGTGGACAACTATTTATACTGTTAATTGATAAAATAGGTAGTCTTAGCTCAGATAGAAAGTAGCACATACGAGAGTAAAATACAGAAATTATGGATGGGTTTCAGTGAATATTACTTTCTTCACTAAACTGTGTTTTCAATTTTTCAACAGTCCTGTGTTATTAAGGCGTGGGGGAGGGAGGGGCACGCTAACCCACCACCAACCTTATCTGCCATCATCCTAATGCTAGACACCCTAAGCAGAAATACCCACAAGGAGCAAGCGCACACACCTACACAACAAAAGCCCTGATGATAGGACCTAACGCCATACAACTGTGGGCGTCCGCGACCTGAGAACTCGGTAAGGTGGTCTAGTCCAAGCTCTTAATTCCTGGGGCTCAAGGGAACCACCCCGATGTAATCAGTGCAGCCCCGGAGCCCTAGGAAGCGAGGCCGGCCAGTGCAGTCGGGGCCCGCTTTCCCGCCCAGCCCGCAGGCTCAGGTCGGGGTTCCTGCGCAACTTGGACAATCGGATTGGTCTCGGAAGGCAACTCGGTGGGGCCAGGTCGCTGCCGTTCGTCCCCGCGCGGTCTAGACGCCCCTCCGGAGGGGTTCTCAGAGCCGGGGACCACAGATCCCCTGGCCTTTCCAGGAGCCGAGGAGAGCGTGAGCACATTCTGCTGGCGCCCGGGGTCCGCGCTCCCTCCCGGCGCCTTTCAGGGGCTGCCTGGCCCAGATCCCCGCTGCTGCTCCCCAAACCCGCCCCGAGCGAGCCAACACTGGGGCCTCCAACCGCCCGCGCGGCTGCCTGGCTCACCTGGTGGCCGGGATCCAAACCCCCGCTCCAAGTGCCCCACAAGGCAGGCCTCCGCCGAAGATCCGGAGGAAATCGAAAGTGAAACTGCCGAGGCAGGTGGCACTTTTCTGCAGCAACCAAGGATCGCCTTTCCTGACTACGGCAGCCTGCGGGGACCGAAAAGGCCAGACTTTGGTGGAGCGCGCAAAGCCTAGAATCTCGTTTTGCCTAAAGGCAAAGTTGGTGCTTTGGCGGTCAAAGGAGAAAGCGCTGGTGCTTACTCTTTTAACAGAAACAAACATCCCTTAAATAAAACAAACAAACAGACAAACAAACAAAAAACCCAAACTGGAAGTGATCTTTTAGCAGGGATTTCCTTTAGGCAGAAATGCAAGAAAGAGCTTGAAGTCATACTACACTGGAATTTACTGCTAACGTAATGGCTAAGAGAGATCCTTGAATAAGTTAATGCAAATAAATAAATAAAACAGGCAGCCTCAAATCTTCAAATCCACCTTTGGATTTTGATTAAGTGTGTGAAGATGAGGTCATTATTAGCAAGAGATTGTTTCCATGGCAACGTCAATTGCCACAAAAAGAATTAAAATCACTAAAGTAGCTCCGTATTATAATGGCATAAATTGCGTTCCATTACAATCTTTAATTCTAATTGGAAATGGTGTGCAGACATTATTTAAGTGCTGCTATGGGAACTTGGTTTGGAATTTTGCATGAATTCTCAATATTCTTGCTATTAATGGAAAGGGCAAAGCAAAAGAAGAAAACTGTTATACCAACACTTGATTCCACTTTTTCTTCACACACATACCCTCAACTTAAAACTTATACTTTAATTCCATTTGTGATTTGTAATGCTATAAACAAAGAAATAATATCTTTAAACAGATTCTTAACCCCGTTAAGTGTTATGGATCTAAGATGCAGAATTTTTTCCTAAGATAAAGATGAGTTTCCCTGCTTGGAAACCTCTCTTAGCTGAAGAAATGAACCTTTGATTGATATGGCGACAGAGAGCAACTGGGTGTGATTTGTGGAAAAAAGAGATTTCCTTACATCCTTCCATAAAAGCTTACTTTGGGTAAAAACCGAGCATTACAGATTTATTGAAAAGGCTGTATTTGAAGTTCTTGCAGTATAAAATATAATGTAAAACAATTAAGTATCATTTAAATAAAATAATTAGCTGCCAAGAACAAACATGATAGGTAAAGAAAGCCCTGTCCCTAAAAGCCTTTTTCACAAAAAACCTCAAATTGTACCGCATTCCTCACTGGTGGTTTCAATTATTAAAAAAATAATAATAATAATTTGTTAATTCATAGCCCTTTTCCCATTGCCACAGAACTCTGATGGAGTAATTTAGACTAGCGTGGCAGGCAGGGGGCAATGAGGAGTTTTAAGGGCACAGTTCATCTGCAGGGGTCGTTGCAACCTTTTTCAAGGGACATGGATCTGTAAGGGCCCAACTAGACAAATGGGGTGGGCACCATGAATTACTTCATGAGCCAACAAGTTTATCAAAATGTAGTTGTGCCCAGAATCCTCCCCTCAGCAGCTTATAATTGGCTTTTACTGACTCACATGGCAACTTTCCATGTTTCACAAGTTTTTCTTTAGCATTTTTTATTATACAAAGGAAACGTGTGCAAGACTTTTTCTGAAAGTTAGTCCACCAACACTAACTTCAAGTTCTTCAAAACCCTGAACACAACCATTAATTTATGGAGGAGCCCTAAAGTCTTAAATATAATTTGACAAGATTTAGTTTAGCTTACACAGTTTAATTTAGCTTAAATGTTACAATTGATAAACCTATACTGACACATCATTATCACCCAACTACCTGTCCATAGTTTATATTAGGGTTCTCTCTTGGTGTTGTACATTCTATGGGTTTTGAGAAACTTATAATGACATGTATCTGCCATCATCGTACGATGCGAAGTATTTTCACTGCTGTAAAAATCCTCTGTGCTCTGCCTATTCATCCGTCTCTCTCCACTAACCCCTGGCAATCACTGGTCTTTTTAATGTCTCTATGGTTTCACCTTTTCCAGAATACCAAAAAGTTGGAATCATATAGTACATAGTTTGGCTTTTCAGATCGGCTTCTTTCACTTAGAAATGTGCATTTAAGGGGTGCCTGGGTGGCTCAGTCCTTAAGCGTCTGCCTTCAGCTCAGGTCATGATCCCAGGGTCTTGGGATCAAGCCCCACATCGGGCTCCCTGCTCTGCCGGAAGCCTGTTTCTCCCTCTCCCTCTGCCTCTCCCCCTACGTGTGCTCTCTCTCTGTATCTCTGTGTCTCAAATGAATAAATAAAATCTTAAAAAAAGAAATGTGCATTTAAGTTTTCTTCATGTCTTTTTATGGTTTGATAACTCATTTTTTTTAGTGTTGGAGAATATTCCATTTTCTAGATGTACCACAGTTCATTCTCTTACTGATGGACATCTAGGTTGCTTGCAAGTTTTGGCAATTGTGAATAAAGCTGCTATAAACATCTGTGTGCAGGTTTTTGTGTGGACCTAAGTTTTTAGCTCACTTGGATAAATACCAAGAAGCACATTTGCTGAATTGTCCGATGAGAATATGTTTAGTTTTGTAAGAAACTGTCAAACTGTCTTCCAAAGTGACTGTACCATTTTGCATTCCTACCAGCAATGTCTGAGTGTCCCTGTTGCTCCACATCTGCACCAGCATTTGGTGTTGCCAGAGTTTGGGATTTTGGCCATTCTTAGAGGTATGTAGTGGAAGTTCATTGCAGTTTTAATTTGCAATTCCTTATTGACATATGACGTGAGGCATCTTTTCATATGCTTATTTGCCATCTGTATATCTTCTTTGGTGAGGTGTCTTTTCTGATCTTTTGCCCATTTTTAAATCAGATTGTTCTCTTTTATTGTTGAGGTTTTTTTTTTTTTAAGATTTTTTATTTATTTGACAGAGAGAGAGACAGCGAGAGAGGGAACACAAGCAGGGGGAGTGGGAGAGGAAGAAGCAGGCTTCCCGCCAAGCAGGGAGCCCGATGCAGGGCTCAGTCCCAAGACCCTGAGATCATGACCTGAGCCGAAGGCAGTCACTTAACCAACTGAGCCACCCAGGCACCCCTTACTGTTGAGTTTAAAGAGTTCTTTGTATATTTTGCAAATACAAAGAACAAATATGTTCTTTTGCAAATATTTTCTCCCAGTCTGTGGCCTCATTCTCTTGAGGCTATTAGTCTCCAAATAGGCAAATGTTGGTATAAAACACTAAGGTGAACCCTTGCCGCTTCACTCTTTGTTCCAAATGTCTATAGTCCTATGCCTTTAAAAAACTATGTTCTTCAGTGTTTCATGGTCATAAGAGAAAGTATCACGTCTAGCTTATTTTATAAAACACCCAACAGCACTGTGAATATGTGGGTAATTGTATTATGTTGATGCTGATATGATAGATATAAATATGGAAATGGATTGGCCAACAGTTTCCAAAGCAGATTTGAGTACCTAATCAGTGTTATGCTTCTAAGAATCCTGGCTGATCTTGTTCCAGCAATGCATTACCTGGTATGAAGTGCTGGCATGCACTTGGACCTATCCTGGACATTCAGACTGGACAATAAAAACACCTAACCTGTCACATCCTAGTTTGGGGTATTTGGACCACTATTATCTACCTTTTATCACGGGATGTGAAAATTATTTGTTAAAGAAGATGAGAAGAAAGACATTCTATAGTTGTTGAATTTCTTCTCCCCCCCTCTCCCCCCCTTCTCCCCCCCTTCTTCCCCCTCCTCCTCCTCCTTCTTCTTTTTTACAATGTAGCCTTTCAAACATCCCACTTTTATGCAGGGGTCTCAATTCCAATTCTCTACCTCAAATGGAGCCAATGCCTTGTCTCTTGGGCTCATGGGCATAAAAACTGTCACTCACTTCCATTCTTCCTTCTAAAACAATTCAAACTTTATCATCTTCTGGGTTTTTGGGACAGCCCTAAACCTGGCCTCATCATTTGGAGCCCAGTTCCATTTTCTTCACCGGGCCAACTCCTAGGTTTGCTTAGGTCTTAGCTCATGCATCGATTCCATAAAGAAAGCCTTTGATAAGAAAGCCTTCTTCTTTGTACCACTTGTAAATGCTGTAATTAAATAACTTTATGTGTCTCTGTGTGTGTATGTTTGTTTGTTTCCTACCTCAATAAGCTATTCTATGAGAGTGGGACCAATGTCTCTGTTATTCAGCACTATACTGTTATATCTTCTGAGAAGGAATTGACTGATGGACAGATTTCTCAGGAAAGGCCATGTGCCTCTTATTTGTATCAAAAGATAAGATATATTCTGCATCATGGGCACTTGGTTTCAGATTAATGCTTGAGATGTTTAAATACATGTTCAGACTTCACTGACCATCATTTTGAATTTCATAAGAGATGGGCTTACGGTCCGAATTCCTGTGAGGGGAGTCTTCCAAATGCCCTGATGCTTTATGCTCCACTGTGAACTCTAGAAAACCTCTCTCAGCTGTAAAATTCAGTGAAATCGGTGTGATGCTGCCCTTGTATTTTAATCAAGATGAACTTGAAAGGTGAACATTATAAGTAGGAGAAATTATTTATAATTTGGTAATAAAAGTTTATGTCTAACACTCCAAATTTCATACATCTGCTATGTGCTGGCCCTGAGATATAAAACAATTGAAGTTGCCTTTACATTTGGCCTTATATGAAAGGTCATAAATTAGAATGATAGCATTCGTCCTCTTTTCTAGCTCACAAAATTTCCATATTAACATCTTCACCTCAAACATAAATGGTTACCCAGCTACAAAGAAAAGAGTTGTGTTGGCCTTTATGAATTATAGTTTATGTTGGAAATCTGTGGTACATAAGGCTGCTATTCATCTTGCCACAGAGTGCATCTACTTTAATGAAGCTAATTCGACCCCAGTGAAACTAATTAAAACTGTATGGCCAGCTCAAATAAATAAAGTACAGTATATAAAAATTTAGGAATATTTTAGATATCAGCAAACAATTTCCAAGGCATGTGGTTCTTTTAACTCTTAAAAATGCATTTTGACATCTTTGAGGCATTTTCTTTTCTAGAATACCTGCTACCAAGCTTATTT